CAGACTATCTGGCTGATCATGGGGCCTCTGAGGCATTGGGCATTGTGTTAACGGGTGTCACTGGGCAATATAAATGGATTCACTGTAGTGCTCAAGTGCCTGTAGATCTTGATCTATGGAGACCAATATGGGCTTGTCATGCTGAGTTCTGACATTGACCATTGTCTGCTTGCGGTCAGTTTCAGTTCCGTCAGGCTTGAGTTTGCCCGTTTGCTCCTATAATCTGTGGCCGAGGAGGCCAGTGGTCAGTTATAAGCTGATAGCAAACACTCGGGTAGGCCTTGATTACTGTATTGACCAGTCAGTGCCAATGTTTGTGTGCAGTCAGATTTGATTTAGTTTGCACAAGCCATCCTGTGACCACTACTCCACCCAACATTAAGAGAATGTAAGAATCAAAGGGGCACTGATGAACCAGTACTTATGGCAGCCTAGAGTCCAGTGTCGAGCTGATTCCCTGGCCATGTCGTCATCCTCTCAACATGAGATTTCAGGGCATTTGATCAAATGGTTAATGAAAGTACCATAGACCTAGAGGACTAAGGGGTTTCAGTTCACTATGCACAGTTGTACAAGGAACTGATGATGTGATGAAACCCAGAATGACCCACATTTGTTAGTGTGATGGTAAATGTCCACAACCTGCATTTCCTGGGTCACTCTCCCACATTTAGCTGCCATGCTGTGATGTAAGTGGGGATGATGGGTTGAACAGAGGCCCATCAGCTTACCCTGGTTGTTGGACCAAATGTGTCAGGTGGTCTGGCTTAGTGGTGTGGTTGGCAGTGTGTGATAATACCCTTGCGTTGTCTGGTCCAGACTTCATTATGGACAGGTCACCATCATGTAGCTGCCTATCTGTGTAGTTTCAAAACAAGCAAACCAAATGAAAGACATATACGGCATTGAATTATTTAAGGATGTTCAAGTTCTATGATGCAATTGTCCAATCCATGAAAATAAAGTGCTTGGCATATAAAATAGATAAGCTGTCCTCTAGCATTAGGTGCTGCTTCTGTTTGTGAAGTTGTGTTGAAATTAAGGTTGTCTTCCTGTCACTTATTTGGCAGGGCAAGTTAAAAATTAGAATGGACTAGTAGAATTTTCATGTTTACTAGCCCAAGGGAAAGTAGATAAGTCTGGTATTGGAAGAGCCCTGAATTACTGTTTGATGTCAAATGAAAATGTCAGTAGTGATCGGAAGTAATCAAATGTACTTGCAAGGTTGACACAAAGCCCAGTGTGATCTGATCTGTACAATCAAGTTTGCTTGTCATGATACCGCATGACCATTATTGATAATCTGATGACATATCCCAATCGGTCTGGATGTCACAGTGCCCAGTGTTATGAGGTCAGTGCCCAGTCAGGTCTGAAGGATTAGGGTTGAAAAATAGAATCTGCTGCTTGGCTGCAAAAACAATTGAGTCTGGTATGATTTGTGTATGATATTAGTTTGAACAAATACGTTACTTAAGATATGTTTCGATTTTTAAAAGATCTCTTTCCTTCAATCTTTTACTGGGAATACTTTTTGCCTGAGAGGAAACTTTTGAAAAGAGGGTACAATATTAACCCTTTGTACTTGGAAAACCCCCAAAATGTCAGTTTTGGCATATACAACTCAATATAAATGTTTAAAGCCTATTATCAGTGTATTATCATTGTATTTGGTGACACACAAAACTCTGTTATTTTGCCGTGGTAGAATGGAAATGCAGCTAAGCCTGTATGTTTATCTTATTTTTATGAATCAAGTTTTCAAGAAACATGCCTTAATACTGATAAATTTCAAATTCAGCCTGTAAGTTAGAGGGAACATAAGAAGGGAACCAAGCAAGGTTGCAGAGGTCTGTTTTACTCAGTGATAATATGAAATTCTCTATATCAATGTAATTAGTTGCATGGAAAGCCAGCTAACCACTGTAACTGATCCCTTACTTCTTTCAACGAGTATATGAAGCAGGAACGTCACTGTGCCAGGGATGTGGAACCAGGAGTTTAGTGTATGATCGTTGTGATTGACTCAGACGTCATGCTGTTCCTAGTGTTGGATCAGGGAATCCAGTTTTCATTGCTCAGTCTGTGACCTATGACCAAGCCAGAGATGATCAATAACAAGACAAATCCCATTATTGAGCTTCACTTGCTCCTCCAGACATGTTTTAGGGTTACTGAGCTAATGTTGGGCAGCGTTGCCTGGGGGTGGGAAGAAATTCCCAGATTTACCATCCGTAGTGTTTAGGATAAGGTTGGTGACAATCAAGCCAGTTAAGAAAAATCATAAGGTGTATTTGTTATATTTGATGGTTCAAATGATTAAATGATTGATATTTGAAGATGGTTTTGTTCGTTCTGTACATGACAGTGCGTGGTATCTAATCATCTATAGTAAAATGTTTGGTGTAAATTATGTAAAATACCATTTTATGTATAGAATGTCAGAAATCATATTTTTATCAGATTTGTTGTGTTAAATTTTGTTTTAGTAACTGATTATGTTTTCACTTGTAATAAATAGTCTGAATGTTCAGAAAGACTGGTTTAGAAGTATGTTGTAGGTCATTCAAGAAGATGTTTCTTCAGAAAGGTCAGTGTTTTCCCTGGGACATAAACCAAATTAATTTATGTAGAACATGTTTATGCTATTCTATTTTTGAGACTATTGAATATAAGGAAAAACTAACTAAATGTGTTTAGAGAAGGAACTTTGTACTATATTTTTGTCTTTATTTTCTAATTATCTGTTATTTTTGTAATATTTTCCCAGATCATGTGCAGGTGAAATATGAACATGTGGCATTACAGGCAATTTGCCCTTTTTATCAAGTCACTGCCACTGCCACAATAATCAATAAATCTGTGTACCTCAGGGCCTTACAACTCCAGTACATCAGGAATTATCTGAGGCATCTTGAAGACAGTTTTCCTTGTATCTGAGACCTCGCAGCAGAGGCAAGGCGAGGGTTAATATTGCAGCTAAACTTTTGATAACAAACATTTGTCAGGATTGTTGATTGTTAAGATGTCATGATCAATTTTCTTTATATATTCTTAATCCATCATTGAAAGAAATTCTACTCCAAACCTGTCCTGTGTTTTGGACTTTAGCATCTATTCCTAGTCTAGGTGGTGTTGTAATTAATGCCAGTTGTGACATTAGGACATTGTTAGATTTGAATGAAGATAGCATGTTTTGAGTCAGCTGACAAACTATAATTTGATTTGATAATTTAATTTTGATTGTTTGGACTGCTGAATGGCCTACTTCAACCTTCTTGCTGATATGGTTAACACAAAAACATTAGTCTAATGGTTGTCAGTAATTGAAGACAGACAGTTGTGCCACTGTCTTTGTGTGATGTGGCGTTGTAATGGATGCCGCGTACAATATTTGGAATTAGGCGACATTATGAAGGATGATACTGGTCCTCCATATGAAGTTGTTTCTGATCTATTGTGCCAATAATTGACTTTGGCATTGGACCAGTGATTCATATTGAAAGCCATATGCCTCTACACAAGTTTCCATGTGCAGTTATTAAGAATAATTGCTAAGATTGTGTGTAATTCTGGTAAATAAATGTTTAGAGGAACTTTTCCAATGTATACGCTCATTAGTCAGTAAAGAAACAGATCTGACATCCCTTGCTCATTATGCATTTGACTTGGGTCTATTCTCCACAAAACTTCAGTGTGGGAAGCCATTTCTGTATGACAGCTTGAATCTAGCTGGAAATGATATAAAACCACAGTTGGAATCAGGAAAGATTGCAGGGCTTGGGTTTAAATTAGAACTTTTGAAATGAAATCTCTAAGATCTTCATACTTTATAATAATTGAGAGACGAGTGCAACCATAATGGCTCGCTATGGGAGGGAATATTGATTTTGTCTTGAGCTGAACGAACACATCTACATATTAGCAGTAGCTCATGATGGTCGGTCCTCGATTCGAGGCGATTCCGTCAGAGCTGTCCTTTTATCGTCTGTAGGGAATCTCCGTAAGTAGGACACTGTTGTTTTTTTCCCCTGTGTCTGTATTTTTGATGATTTGCCTTAGATTTCTAGTTGTATTGCCCTTACCTTGCTCCCAGGTTTCAGTTTCCGTACACAGTTTGAATTTTAATATGTTAAGGAACTTGTTTTTTTCCTCATGACAGCCCATATTTTTGGTAAACTGACATGGAATGGATGGCCATGAGTGGTATTACGTCATTGTTTCGGATTGTTTTATTGATATTTGTGATTGTTTCATCTCATGTAAATGATCATCTTGTGTATGTCAACATGTCATGAGGATATTTAAATAATGACATCATCAGATTGCAGAGACAGTTTTCTTTGAAATGTAATTGTTTTGGAATATGATCGAAGAATGCAGTTTGGTATTATGTATTGACTTTGAGTGTAGGTCCTAGAACTGTATCTTCTTGTAGTGTTGGATTGACAGACTATGTGCATCTGTCGTTGAGACATGTGCCTTGCACGTCGTAGAAGTAGACAGTGCATAATGCCTCTGTGGATGTGACATTTGAAATGCATTGAGGATGAGGCAGAGATAGACAGTCTTGGATAGAAGTCACACAGTTACAAGCACCTGCTTGTTCTTTTAGTTTACAGGTTCTTTTAGTTAGCTGTTAAATGTATAATGTGTGGAAAAGTGTTCAATTATTTTGAATAAGAATTTGTTTTTAATCTTGTTTATATTATAGTGGTGTCTAGTCAAGCAGTTTGTCAATATTAGGAATGTATGTTAACTTTTTGTTAAGGAAGAAAGAAGTATTTTGATTATATTGGTTTCTCCTCCATGAATTATTGTTTTAATTGTCACTTGCATTGTTTTCTGTAGTAAGGTGGAATGATGTTGACAAGATTTTAAATGTTTTGTTAAATATGTATTAATCTTTGAGGTGTATTCTGATTTCAGACTTGCAATTGCATTATATTCATGATGTAGTTTTAGGTCTTTAACAGAAATTACATGCTTCTGATTTTCAGAAAAATCGAGGATCTACAAAACGACTTGTCCAGTTCTACACAAAAGCTTGCAATCCTTAATGAAACTATAGAACAATTAAAGGCAGACCAAGAGAAGGAGAAGGAGGGTATTGTAAATAAAAGTAGAGAAGAAGTGAAGGTGCTACAGGGAACATTGGAGGATGTGGTAAGACTGGGGCTAAACATGGTCAGACTGGGGCATGGTGTGTGAGGGTTCTGGCTAGATCTGGCAAGTGGGGCAGTGTGTTGTAAGACTGGGGCTAAACATGGTCAGACGGGGGGCATGGTGTGTGAGGGTTCTGGCTAGATCTGGCAAGTGGGGCAGTGTGTTGTAAGACTGGGGCTAAACATGGTCAGACGGGGGCATGGTGTGTGAGGGTTCTGGCTAGATCTGGCAAGTGGGGCAGTGTGTTGTAAGACTGGGGCTAAACATGGTCAGACGGGGGGCATGGTGTGTGAGGGTTCTGGCTAGATCTGGCAAGTGGGGCAGTGTGTTGTAAGACTGGGGCTAAACATGGTCAGACGGGGGGCATGGTGTGTGAGGGTTCTGGCTAGATCTGGCAAGTGGGGCAGTGTGTTGTAAGACTGGGGCTAAACATGCTCAGACTGGGGCAAGGTGTGTGAGGGTTCTGGCTAGATCTGGCAAGTGGGGCAGTGTGTGGTAGGACTAGGGCTAAACATGGTCAGACTGGGGCATGATGTGTGAGGGTTCTATCTAGATCTGGCAAGTGGGGCCCCAGGCAGTGTGTTGTAAGACTGGGGATAAACATGGTCAGACTGGGGCATGGTGTGTGAGGGTTCTGGCTAGATCTGGCAAGTGGGGCCCCAGGAAGTGTGTTGTAAGACTGGGGCTAAATATAGTCAGACTGGGGCATGATGTGTGAGGGCTCTGTCTTGATCTGACAGGCTGGGGCAGTGTGTGGTTAGACTGGGGCTAGGAGCAAGAGGGTTAGATCTAGATTTGGCTGAATGAGGCAATGTGAGATCAGGCTGGGGCTAAGCATGTAAGAGTTCAGGCTAGATCTTGCAAGTGTTGGCGAGGGTGGGGATGAGAAGATGTGCTCAGGTGGGGCCAAAGTTTTATGTGTGAGGAGTGGGGCTAGATGTCAGAGTAGTGGGGCTAGATGTGTGAGGAGAGGGGCTAGATGTGTGAGGAGTGGGGCTAAATGTCAGAGGAGTGGGGCTAGATGTCAGAAAAGTGGGGCTAGATGTGTGAGGAGTGGAACTAGATGTGTGAGGAGTGGGGCTAGATGTCAGAGGAGAGGGGCTAGATTTGTGAGGAGTGGGGCTAGATGTGTGAGGAGAGGGGCTAGATGTGTGAGGAGTGGGGCTAAATGTCAGGAGTGGGGCTAGATGTCAGAAAAGTGGGGCTAGATGTGTGAGGAGTGGAACTAGATGTGTGAGGAGTGGGGCTAGATTTGTGAGGAGTGGGGCTAGATGTCAGAGTAGTGGGGCTAGATGTGTGAGGAGAGGGGCAAGATGTGTGAGGAGAGGGGCTAGATGTGTGAGGAGTGGGGCTAAATGTCAGAGGAGTGGGGCTAGATGTCAGAAAAGTGGGGCTAGATGTGTGAGGAGTGGAACTAGATGTGTGAGGAGTGGGGCTAGATTTGTGAGGAGTGGGGCTAGGGGCTAGATGTGTGAGGAGCGGGGCTAAATGTCAGAGGAGCGGGGCTAGATGTCAGAGAAGTGGGGCTAGATGTCAGAGAAGTGGGGCTAGATGTGTGAGGAGTGGGGCTAGATGTGGGGCTAGAGGATCCGACTACACGTGATCAGGGTGGCTCTCTTTGTGGCAAGAGTCCATCAAGATGGAGTTGGGATGGGGTGAGATAGGGCCAAGGTCCATAGGGCTTAATATGGTGTTGGTGGAGTTGGATGTGGTCGGGGATGGGGGTGCTAGAGATGGCATGTTGTAGTTGGATGTGCCAGAGTGGGACAAGACATTTCCAGCTGTGGCAGGTAGTTGGTAGGTGTGGGAATGGTGGGGATGACACAAGGCATGGAATGGTGGTGATGGCACAAAGTATAGTGGTTTCTTTGATGTGGTTATAGTGAAGAGCTTGAATTCATAGTTGGAGAACCAGAAATACAAATTAAACAACATTCAGTGTGATTCCACTTTCTGTAGAGGTGATTAATTGGATGTTATACAAAGATCTGTGTTGCTTGGGTTCTTGGTAATGAAGTGGTAATTCATTAAGTCTGCAAGAAAACTATTTTCCATCGCAGAAAATGATCATTTTTACCATGTCAGATCTTAATTACTAATATTTCCTTGTTTCAGCAAACTGAACTAGATAGGACTAAGGCTAAGTTAGGAAAATTAACTGAAGATTTTGAAAAAGATACAGTAGAATTAGAAGGGACAAAGGACTTGGAAATTACTGACCTTAAGAATCAATTAAGTGCCAATGCAAAAGAACTGGAGAAACAAGAACTACAGACACAGGCCCACAAACAGGTCCTTGATCAGATCACCTTGGAGAGAGAGGCCATGAAAGTAAGTGACATTACCATTGAAACAAGAAAAGTAGGTAGCAGTTGAAGCCATGAAAGTAGGTGCTCTTACCATGGAAATAATGAAAAGAGGTAACGGTAAATGCACAGAAAGTAAATAGGTTACCATCGGTAAATCTTAAAGTAGGTTAGGATTGCAAATGATACAGTGAAAGTATTTTGGATTTTGCAGTAAAGAACTTAAGGTTCTAAAGAGCAACATCCTACAAGCTCTCATACTTTCAGTCAAAAACAGAAATTAAGTGAAAGGACAGTTAGGCTGGAGAGTGTATACTCAGCGTTTAAAATTCCCGCCTGCCCAACCGTCCAGAACGGTCTATTTTCATCTCTTATGGTCAAATTTCAAAAGTAGCCTGTCCGGTAGTCTGGTAAATGTTTTTACCCCTAATAGTCAATATTTCATAATATCAGACAAAACCTGATTTATTTTTTTCATTGTTGAAAACCGGACAGGCAAGTTTGTATCCGGACTGGTAAGTTTTTTTAAGTTAACAGTCTGGCTGTCTTGCTTGGAATTTTGGGAGTTTTAAAACATTGGTATACTGCAAAATATGCCTACATTTGTCATCTGTTTCAGTTTGAGAAGGAGAAGGCTGAAAAAAATCTAAAACGTCTTGAGAGTGAAAAAGATGCTATCAACACCGAGTTAATTCAGTGCAGAGTTGAACTGTCTAAGGTACAGGCAGAGCGTCAGCAAAGCTCATCAGACAAACAGGGCATGGATGAACAGATTCAGGTGGCCAAGGAAGAGCTGGATAGGGCACTGAAGGCCAAGCAGGAGGTGAGGCTACTGTACAGAGTAGAGGTGGTAGAGACAGGGCACTGAAGGCCAAGCAGGAGGTGAGGATACTGTACAGAGTAGAGGTGGTAGAGACAGGGCACTGAAGGCCAAGCAGGAGGTGAGGCTAATGTACAGAGTAGAGGTGGTAGAGACAGGGCACTGAAGGCCAAGCAGGAGGTGAGGTACAGAGTAGAGGTGGTGGTAGAGACAAGGCACTGAAGGCCAAGAAGCAGGGGTGTGAGGCTACTGTACAGAGTAGGGAGGTGGTAGAGACAGGGCACTGAAGGCCAAGCAGGAGGAGGTGAGGCTACTGTACAGGAGTAGAGGTGGAGTGAGAGGACAAGGCACTGGGGAAGGCCAAGCAGGAGGTGAGGATACTGTACAGAGTAGAGGTGGTAGAGACAGGCCACTGAAGGCCAAGCAGGAGGTGTGAGGATACTGTACAGAGTAGAGGTGGTAGAGACAGAGCCACTGGAGGCCAAGCAGGAGGTGAGGCTAATGTACAGAGTAGGGGGTGGTAGAGACAGGGCACTGAGAGGCCAAGCAGGAGGGTGAGGCTACTGTACAGAGTGAGTGGTGGTAGAGACAAGGGCACTGAAGGCCAAGCAGGAGGTGAGGGATACTGTACAGAGTAGAGGTGGTAGAGACAAGAGCACTGAAAGGCCAAGCAGGAGGTGAGGCTACTGTACAGAGTAGAGGTGGTAGAGACAGGGCACTGAGAGGCCAAGCAGGAGGTGAGGATACTGTACAGAGTAGAGGTGGTAGAGCTGTGAGGGGCACTGAAGGCCAAGAAGCAGGGAGGTGAGGCTACTGTACAGAGTAGAGGTGGTAGAGACAGGCCACTGAAGAGGAGCCAAGCAGGAGGTGAGGCTACTGTGCACAGTGGGGAGGTGGTAGAGACAGGCCACTGAAGGCCAAAGCAGGAGGTGAGGCTACTGTACAGAGTGAGAGGTGGTAGAGGCAGGGCACTGAAGGCCAAGCAGGAGGTAGAGGATACTGTACAGAGGTAGAGGTGGTAGAGACAAGGCCACTGAAGAGGCCAGGCAGGAGGTGAGGAGCTACTGTACAGAGTAGAGGTGTGGTAGAGACAGGGCACTGAAGGCCAAGCAGGAGGTGAGGCTAATGTACAGAGTAGAGGTGGTAGAGACAGGCCACTGAAGGCCAAGCAGGAGGTGAGGCTACTGTACAGAGTAGAGGTGGTAGAGACAGGGCACTGAAGGCCAAGCAGGAGGTGAGGATACTGTACAGAGTAGAGGTGGTAGAGACAGGGCACTGAAGGCCAAGGCAGGAGGTGAGGATACTGTACAGAGTAGAGGTGGTAGAGACAGGGCACTGGAAGAGGCCAAGCAGGAGGTGTGAGGCTACTGTACAGAGTAGAGGTGGTAGAGACAGGGCACTGAAGGCCAAGCAGGAGGTGAGGATACTGTACAGAGTAGAGGTGGGTAGAGAGACAGGGCACTGAAGGCCAGGCAGGAGGTGGGGCTACTGTACAAGAGTAGAGGTGAGAAGTAGAGACAGGGCACTGAAGGCCAGAGCAGGAGGGTGAGGCTACTGTACAGAGTAGAGGGTGAGGTAGAGACAACAGAGGCACTGAAGGCCAAGCAGGAGGTGAGGCTACTGTACAGAGTAGAGGTGGTAGAGACAGGGCACTGAAGGCCAAGCAGGAGGTGAGGATACTGTACAGAGTAGAGGTGGTAGAGACAAGGCACTGAAGGCCAAGCAGGAGGTGAGGATACTGTACAGAGTAGAGGTGGTAGAGACAGGGCACTGAAGGCCAAGCAGGAGGTGAGGATACTGTACAGAGTAGAGGTGGTAGAGGCAGGGCACACTGAAGGCCAAGAAGCAGGAGGTGAGGCTAATGTACAGAGTAGAGGTGGTAGAGACAGGGCACTGAAGGCCAAGCAGGAGGTGAGGCTACTGTACAGAGTAGAGGTGGTAGAGACAGGGCACTGAAGGCCAAGCAGGAGGTGAGGATACTGTACAGAGTAGAGGTGGTAGAGACAGGGCACTGAAGGCCAGAGCCAAGCAGGAGGTGAGGCTAATGTACAGAGTAGAGGTGGTAGAGACAGGGCACTGAAGGCCAAGCAGGAGGTGAGGCTAATGTACAGAGTAGAGGTGGTAGAGACAGGGCACTGAAGGCCAAGCAGGAGGTGAGGCTAATGTACAGAGTAGAGGTGGTAGAGACAGGGCACTGAAGGCCAAGCAGGAGGTGAGGCTAATGTACAGAGTAGAGGTGGTAGAGACAGGGCACTGAAGGCCAAGCAGGAGGTGAGACTAATGTACAGAGTAGAGGTGGTAGAGACAGGGCACTGAAGGCCAAGCAGGAGGTGAGGCTAATGTACAGAGTAGAGGTGGTAGAGATGGGGCACTGAAGGCCAAGCAGGAGGTGAGGCTAATGTACAGAGTAGAGGTGGTAGAGACAGGGCACTGAAGGCCAAGCAGGAGGTGAGGCTAATGTACAGAGTAGAGGTGGTGAGAGCCGGGGCACTGAAGGCCAAGCAGGAGGTGAGACTAATGTACAGAGTAGAGGTGGTAGAGACAGGGCACTGAAGGATCAAGCAGGAGGTGAGGCTAATGTACAGAGTAGAGAGTGGTAGAGGCAGGGCACTGAAGGCCAAGCAGGAGGTGAGGCTAATGTACAGAGTAGAGGTGGTAGAGACAGGGCACTGAAGGCCAAGCAGGAGGTGAGGCTAATGTACAGAGTAGAGGTGGTAGAGACAGGGCACTGAAGGCCAAGCAGGAGGTGAGGCTAATGTACAGAGTAGAGGTGGTAGAGACAGGGCACTGAAGGCCAAGCAGGAGGTGGCTAATGTACAGAGTAGAGGTGGTAGAGACAGAGGCACTGAAGGCCAAGCAGGAGGTGAGGGCTAATGTACAGAGTAGAGGTGGTAGAGACAGGGCACTGAAAGGCCAAGAAGCAGGATGTGAGGCTAATGTACAGAGTAGAGGTGGTAGAGACAGGGCACTGAAGAGGCCAGGCAGGAGGTGAGGCTACTGTACAGAGTAGAGGTGGTAGAGACAGGGCACTGAAGGCCAAGCAGGAGGTGAGGCTAATGTATAGAGTAGAGGTGGTAGAGACAGGGCACTGAAGGCCAAGCAGGAGGTGAGGCTAATGTACAGAGTAGAGGTGGTAGAGACAGGGCACTGAAGGCCAAGCAGGAGGTGAGGCTAATGTACAGAGTAGAGGTGGTAGAGACAAGGCATGTTAAAGCTGTACATAACACAGTGCTCCATCTTATCATGACCTGTTCTGTTCACAGTTACAAAAGCAGTGTGAAGATGTGCAAGCGGAAAAAGAGAAGGTTACCTCTGAGCGTAACCAACTTCAACAGGATGCCATGACAACCAAAGCAGATATACAGAAAAAGGACATGCAGATAGACGAGTATAAGAAGGAGGTGAGTGATGATCTTCAGCAGCTTGCTTTACAATTTATTTATTTATTAGTTTTGGCTGTCAAACATCCATCTGTTCTTGTGATTGTCATGCTTTCAGTACCTCTGGACTACATGGGGTGGTGGGGTAGCCTAGTGGTTAAAGCTTTCGTTCATCACGCCGAAGTCTTAGGTTCGATTCCCCACATATCTACAATGTGTGAAGCCCATTTCTGGTGTCCCCACCGTGATATTGCTGGAATATTGCTAAAAGCTGAGTAAAACCAACCTCACTCACTCACTCCTCTGGACCACAAGATCTGTGATGCTGGAACATTTAATTGACAATCACAGCAACATTATCAGTAAAGAAAGTTAAAACAAAATTCTGTTCTGATTTTTTCAATGAAATGTTTGTGTACAATATAAGATCATCAGGCATTCATTATATTTCACTCTAGGTGGAGAAATTAAAAGCTGAAACAGCCACACAGCAAGAAGTATTAATGCAGAAATCACAAACTGAGTCGGACAGCAACATTCTCAGTAAAAACTTGTGAGTCACCTGAGAAGTCTTAATTAGGATGTTGTATTTACCAGGTGTATGGGTGTATAAAGCTTGGAACGTTAAGGTTATTTTTCCTTATCCTGACTCATGCTCTTTTTGCTTGTCTTCTTCTTCTTGCGAACATAGTGGAACACTTGTATCTCCCTAATTGAAGCTCCTTCAATTTAAAATCACTAATTAGTATTCACCACGAGTTACCTCCTTTCCACAAGCCGGGAGCGAGAGCCACCCTCTACCCATGTGCCTCACTCTCTCCTTCTTAGCCCAGTGAGGCTGGGCGTGAGAGCGCCTGTGTCTCCGACACACTATATCCTTTGAATTATATTTAGTTAGTTACCTCGTTATAGACATCTATAGAGGTTTAGCTAGTATCCTTCAACGATTATATATTGATATTTAGTCGTTTTTCTACAGTTTAGTCACGGGGCCGCCGTGTTTGTTTCAGTGGATTACGTTGATGAAAATTCTGTACTATTGCAGATTCGTTTTTTATGCTGCTGCTGATCCGCCTTTAATATGATGTCTGCGGCCATGTTTATTATATTCACATTGCAGTTCGCGGTACTAATTTATCCAATTCTACCTTTTATTAATATTTACTTTGCGTTTGTACGCACAGCAGATAGATGTCAGCGTATGCAGAGTCTAGTATGACTGATACACGGAACCCCTCGCCAGTCTACTGCTGTTGGCCGACTCCCCTCCGTGTGGTGTTCGCTAGAGTGGTGGAGAGGTGTGGGGCGTAGTCCGCCATCTCAAAAGCATCCTGCTTCCCCAGACATCCCATCGTCGCAGCAGAAGACTAGAGGGTTTTCTACTACATCTCAACAACCGAGACCGTTCCCGCCGAGTTTTGGGCCTGTATGATGATCAGCCGGTCATCATACGGATGTACATCAAAGATTGACCGATGTCGGCACAGATCAGCATGCAGCCTGATGTACCAGCGCAGATATCGATGATGCGTCCTGAGGTCCCATCATTACCAACACTCAGCGCCAGGCGTCGCACACCCAGGGCAGCGTCGACCTCTGAGGAAAATCAGCGAAGTCTACTAGGACTTTCTCAGCGAGATTGTTCCAGCCGATGACCTGGACCTCTCGATGATCAGCTGATCATCATCCCGGCGTCGCCACAAGAAGCGACCGGTGACAGCTACTAGCGACATCAGCAGAGATCACCATGCAGCCTGATGCCTCTACACTGATGTCGGGACGATTTTCCGGTGGACCCCTCCATTAACACGCAGATAAAGCACCGGCGACCTCGCAAATTAGACCATCCCAGAAGACATGATCGACAAATTATGAACATCATGGAGGACCAATATCTGCGGTAGCAGGGTCGAACCAGCGAAGAGCTCCAGCGTGGAACAACACCCCAGAGGCACCCCGTCCAGCGTAGCAGCCAGGGCGATGTCACCTTCCAGCGAAGGAAGTCACGGACCACCTTGGCGAAGGACCTAGATGTACAGCCTTCGCGAAGCGGAAAAGGACCCTAGATGTACAGCCTTGGCGGAAGCGGAAAGAACCTAGATGTACAGCCTTCGCGAAGGACTTAGCGAAGCAGGATAGAATCATCACCTTATCGCGGTTTCATCCCTAGATGTGGACTTCGGACCATCAGACATCCGAAGCCTTGGCGAAGGTCATATCGTCGTTCCCCGGACCGGGACGCAGAGGAAGCTTCAGCGAAGGCATCTTGTGAGACACCTGAATCAGATCATCATCATCTAGAAGGACATCGAGGGACTATACAAGAGCTTAGCGAAACTATCAACGTTCCCCTCACAAGTCTCGAGGAAGATCAACCCATAGACAAGTTGATCATCGATATCAAATATAAGAACTACAATGCATTATATTGGTTCTGTTGAATCCATGGCGAGGCGGTATGTTAAGCTGGCCTAAATAGATCTAGAGCGATCAATTAGACACTTATCACCAGACTTAAGTAACCGACTTCTGAATATGATAAGATGATCCATCGCGGCCCTACTTAGGCAAGGCTTAGCCCGATCCACATCCTGTTAAACACAGAGGCTGTTCCGCGAAGCGGCTCATATATATATTATATATATATATATATACTAATCGGGCTTTGACTCGACACCTTAGCGATGGTCGCGAAGGCTAAGTAACTCAAGTCTACTTCACCCAGAAGATCTAGAAGGGATGCCGAGAACTTAGCGAAGTCTCAGCGTTCACGAGGAAGTCTCCTCAAAGGTTTCCATATACTAGCCACTTTCGTCATATATAGCTACTTTCGTCAGTCCGTTCAAGGCGTCGCATAAGTTGATTATCAACTGTATGCCAGATGCGATCTATAAGCCTCTGCGAAGATAATTGCTCAGGCTATTTACAACACAGAGCGTGGCTGTATTATTAGTCAGCGACATTTCATAGATCTTCACAGAAATTAACTATTCATTATAAATTGCTAATATACAATCCCGGACGGCGATCGATTATCTACATGCGTGATCATTACGCATATCTGCAGACAATTCAATATCGAAATTGAACAGCAGCCTTGTTACAGCGAGTATAACTCTTAATGCGTCAAAGTTTCTGAGGAAGAAATATGTACAACAAGTTCAACGTTAATTCTACAATTATGGCGATACATTCATGTATACAGTCTACAAGCTCACAACTTGCAAGTTGTTTATACCCTTATATATAAAGGAAGTCGAATTATATTCAAAACTGAAATTACTTTCCGACAACCAGGAAAATAACCTACCCAGCATAAAATTACAGGCCCGAGATATTTGGCGGAGGGTTTCAGCGGTTACCATTAACCCTCGAAACGTGGTCACTTTCGGATAACCCGGGAAGCTCACGGTGAAGACCGGCGTTTATGCTAATATCAGCGGCGACAAGAATTTATTCAAGGTGGGTTTTCCCGCTACACCGGTGACATCACAGCGGGTATTATACAGAATCAAAATGCCTTGTTCTGATTGGACCGCGGAGGACAACGACCTACACAGAGGTCGATCTCTATTCACAGTTCAAGACTTACGTCACAAGTGACAACTATATATCAGTGAGCAGGCAAAGCCTCATTACAGTCCAGTTAACCTGAACATTCATGATTAGACTGCCTTTCTTCAAGTTAGAGACCTCCCTGTCAAGTTAAGGCGAGGGATGCGGCAGTCAAGGCGATTTTACATAAAGTTCAGCGAGGACAGACACACCTGGTTGTGCACCTACATCGTCAAGGACTTCTCAGCCGAATTACCTAGGCGAAAGATACAAGTGGATCTAAATCCACAGCGTTTCAGACTACAGCTGAATTTCATCAGCGACTAACACAACTAGATGGTTAGTAAACCTACTAAACTTCTGTTTGGAGAATAAAGCGAAATTTCCGCCCAACCTGGGGATATGAATATAGTGCTCCAACACCTCACAAGTGAGGTTTATGAACACGCCTGGATGACATACTTGGACCCCATGATACGATGATTCTATCAAGATGGCCAGCAAGAGCACTGTAAATTTATCTCCACCAAACCAAACAGGAGGAAAAAAATGCAACAGATTATTTCCTCTATCATCAACTTCGCATGAGAGTGAAGTCTCATGTACTATATCTCCATTTGGATCAGAACTGTCATACTCGTGCATATCACGGATGGACCTATTCCGACCCTCCATGAGCTTAATACTCATGATATTATAGCTAACTTCTACAATTGTTCTACACAAATGTGATTGAAATAATGGAGGTTTATTTCTGGAAATGCGATATGGTGGTTGCAAACCATTATCTGAGAGATATCACCACCGAGGGCGTCTCAGGTATACACCAATTCGATCCCATGGTCCTGCACAACAGGCTGACAGTTCCTCGAGAAGATAAGTCAATCTAACAGATTTTTACTTATCTTATAACAATACTAAATAGCTTCATGCTATATATAATTTACTTAAGTTCCTTTTATCATCACAGTACTATGATTATTACATCATACAATATATAAGTTAACAACTCTACAGAGTTTGTTATTATATATATTACCTTAAGTTATTCATATCTTAAGAGTAATACTATGGTTACATGATAAATGCATTAGCTAACAAACTCTACAGAGTTTTTGGCTATTTTATACATAGCTTAAGTTAATTAAGCTAACAAACTCTACGGAGTTTTACTATTATATAGGTAACTTAAGCTAATTATACCTTAAGCATAGTACTATACTCATATTATTAAAATATATTGGCTAACAAACTCTAAGGAGTTTTGCTATTATATAGGTAGCTTAAGCTTATTCATATCTTAAGCGCAGTACTATGTTTATATCATATAGGTATATTAGCTATCAAAACTCTAAAAGAGGGTTTTGCTATTATATATTTCGCTTAAGTTTCATCATATTTTAAAGCTTTATGGTTTACATTATAACATGTATTAGCTAACAAACTCTACGGAGTTCTTGCTATTATATATGTAGCTTAAGTTTTCCTTCATAAGCTCAATACTAGGTTTATATCATAGCTAACAAACTCTAAAGGGTTGTTTTTAAGCTATTATACAATTAGCTTAAGTTTTCATCATATCTTAAGCAGTATATTTACATTATAAAGGTATTAGCTAACAAAACCAGTGGAGTTTTGTTATTATATATATATAGCTTAAGTTTCATCATAACTTAAGGTCAGTACTATGTTTTTAACATAAAAGTATATTAGTTAATAAACTCTAAGGAGTTTATTTTGCTATATACATTTAGCTTAAGTCTAATCTTATCTTAAGCTTAGTACTATGGTTACTCTATAAACATATTAGCTAATAAACTCTACAGAGTTTTTTGGCTATTATATATGTAGCTTAAGTTAATAATATCTTAAGCACAATGCTATACTCATATTGTAAAATATATTAGCTAACAAACTCTCTGAGGGTTTTGCTATTATATATGTAGCTTAAGTTCATTATATCTTAAGCACACTACTATACTCATATTGTAAAATATATTAGCTAACAAACTCTCACGGGTTTTGCTATTATATATGTAGCTTAAGTTAATTATATCTTAAGCACACTACTATACTCATATTATAAAATATATTAGCTAACAAACTCTGAGGTTTTGCTATATATATATGTAGCTTAAGTTAATTATATCTTAAGCACACTACTATACTCATATTGTAAAAATATATTAGCTAACAAACTCTACAGAGTTTGGCTATTATATATGTAGCTTAAGTTAATTATGGCTTAAGCACAGTACTATACTCATATTATAAAATATATTTAGCTAACAAACTCTACAGGTTTGGCTATTATATATGTAGCTTAAGTTAATTATAAGCTTAAGCACAGTGCTATACTCATATTATAAAATATATTAGCTAACAAACTCTACAGGTTTTGCTATTATATATGTAGCTAAAGCTTATTCATATCTTAAGCTCAGCATTATATCTATATCATATAAGTATATTAACTAACAAACTCTAAAGAGTTTGCTATTATATAATTAGCTTAAGTTTAATCATATCTTAAGCTTAGTACTATGTTATATCTTAAAGTATTTTAGCTAACAAATTCTAAGGAGTTTATACTAGCATATTAACAAGCTTAAGTCTATTAGTCTTAAGCATTGTATTAATGTTATATATGCTTTATCATAATAAGTACATGGTAATAACCTTTTTATATGGCAGCTGATAAGTTAGCAGCAGGAATTCATCAGTTCAGTGCCTTTATGAAGTTCCCATGGGGTTATTACAATCATCACAGTTCAAATCACTAATTATTAAAATCCAAAGTATTAGATATTCCCACCTCCGTTCATTAGGATGCTACAAACAAAAGAGCATGAGTCAGGATAAGGGAAAAATATGTAATTTTTGGAGTAAAATTGATATTTTATACTTATCCTGACTCATGAGGTCAGCCCTCCCATCCTCCCCAAATAACACTTTGGATTTCCCTGTAAATTCAAATGTTGGGCTCAGTATATGAGGGAGAGTGAGGCACATGGGTAGAGGTGGCCCCTCGTTCAGCTTGTGGAAAGGGAGGTAACTCGTGGTGAATACTAATTAGTGATTTTTAAATTGAAGGGCTTCAATTAGGGAGATACAAGTGTTCCACTATGTTACTTAGAAGAAGAAGACAAGCAAAAGAGCATGAGTCAGGATAAGTATAAAATATCAATTTTACTCCAAATATTTTTTATGCTTGTTTCTAGGCACTTATGTGACACACATATGTTGTTAGGTTTTGTTTGAAAATCTGTAATGTCCACAAGTAAATAAAGAATTGTTAGGTTGATAATTGACTGATATACAGTGACATAACTGAATACTGGTGAAAGTGGTGATCATGCTCACACACAAGCTGACCACTTGCCTGATGTCCACAGGGAGGACACAAAGCGTCATCTGACAGAAGTCCAGGCCAACCTAAAGCAGGCAGAGGCTGACAAGCTGAAGATGACGGCCGAGCTGGAGCAGTCGCAGCTAGTCAAGGAGGAGAGGAAAAAGGTAGCTGCTGTGTCTGTATTGGACTAGGTCATTACACTAATGGTGTGGGGAGGCCAGTCTAGGATAGGTCCTATTTCTATAGTATGCATCGCCATGACTTCAGGTAAAACTGACAGTCTACCCAACCACGAGGACGATATCACTTTCACAATCGCTTTATGATCGTGAAGTTGAAGTGTTGTCGACGAGCTGTCGGGATAGCACCAACGCACGAGAATCCAAGCCTGTGCGACTCCATATCAGATTTTTTATTTGTAAAACACCACCAAATGAATTGTGTGATCAGGCACAGCGGGTTAGTTCATTGCGAGCCACTCTGATAGTGTGGATCATTTCTCACAATATCAATCAGTGCATTAAAGTGTTTGAATGGCAGTTAGAAGTGATATGTAGATGTGAGCAGATGAGGAAGGAGTAAGAATATACTCCACAATGTCATGCCCTTCATGTTACAGAATTTGACATCCATACTTTTTCATCCTTTGATAAGTCGATTGTATGGTTGAGACTGGATGATTTAAAGTCACCTACAAATAAACAACAAACCGATAGAATCTAAAGCAGTAACTCCATTAAATAAGGTGATCAGTATCTCTGCTTATTTCATGTCATTGAAACTCAATGGGTGGTTTCTCATTTCCTTCAGATCGCTATGTGGCTGTAATATTGCCGATGCGATGTAACATTTTAACTCACTCACTCATTTCCTTCAGTCTCTAGTTTCCTGTTGCTGAGATAGTGCTTAAAGTTACACAATACAACAAATAGCATATACTTAGTTTCTTAGAAAATAATTATGATTCTATACAGTTGTATACAGCAAAATAGTAATGTGACTTATCTTCTAACACAATAGTGAGATCCTTTCTTGGCATTGCATCCTTGAAGGACTATATTGTAACATTTCTTTGTTAATGTTTGCAATGTACCTGTAGATATATTTAGAGAAAAATCAACCTGTGTGTCCTAGGTGTTTCAGTTTGAAACTTGAAGGTTAAAGCTTACATGCAACGCAAAACACAACTTTGCAGATTCTGATACCTTTCGGTATGGACTTACAGTAACAAATTATCAAAAATGCAAATTCAACTTATAAAGTTGAAAAATAACGCGATGAAAAAAGTCCCGCGAAATTGGAATTCAAACGAGTCACTAAAAAAACCGAGCTGGGTTGAAAAGTGGTTTCAGCAGCTGTGCTGTGCACATAGCGCATGCGCAGTAATTTAGGCTGGAACCGGGATCCCTATACACACCCTGAACGTATCGGCAAATGAACCAGCCAATGAAAGGCTTCGTCACACTTAAGTGCACGCCCACCCGCTCTGACTGGGTTTGCTATAACAGGTGCTTCGGTTCGAGGGTAGTAAACCCATGTACAAAATATTGCACTTTTGATTTGCAATTGTACGCTTACAATTTTGTTTTTTTGTTTTCTCATAATCAGCAATGTATATGTCATGAGTAAATGATAATTGTGTTTTAATTATGTGTATTTTGTTGGTTGCATCTAAGCTTTAAGATGAGACATGTGAAGCATGCAAGTTTTACTTTCAGCTTGAAGAACAAACCAAGAAGCTTCAGTCGGAGTTGGAAGAAGGCCAAAAAAGGTTGGTGTTGTCAATTATACAAAAAACAAGTGATATATCAAGCTATGTGTGTTAGTTCAGATGTTTCTGCTGATGTACAATGTAAATGCAGATTTAATTTGTCTGTGCTGATTAACGTCACTAATTACTAAATACAGGACACATGTTTAACTGTGACGTGTCTATAGCTTGCTGTCTGAAGTCTAATCATCTGCATTGTAACATAGCTTGTCATAAACGTGTGACACTATTAGCTCACATCTGTTAACATTCTTTATTTGTCTGAGTTAGCTAAAATGAAATTACGTGTTCACTGCATCTTCAGTAAGTCGTAGACCAGATGAGATTAATTAGGAAACAGCTATGCTGCTCATTTGTTGAAAAAGATGCAATTAAAGCTACATTAAGCATATAGTTTTCTGTTTAACTAAAGGACTGTTGTACAATTACAATTTATCATTAAGGTAAAACGCACAGTCCCAACCATCTGTGTTTAGTCAAAATTCTAAACGATTCTGGTAATACCTGAATACTGTCTTCAGTTGATTTCATCTGCTAGGTTGAGCATTGTATGGAGGTACAAAGAACATTCTGTGACCTTGATATATTACATTCTCAGTGTGACCATCACAACAACAAAAATTCAGAATCTTATTTCCAGTTTCATTTATTTCTTTTCATGAAGTAAATATAATTCTCTGACACCATACCAATAAATATTTGCATAAGACCTCATTTGCGATAACATAAGTAAATAAACTCATCAGTTTTTGCTTGATAACTAATTGTACTAGTTTCAAATGTTTTGGCTTAGAGGGGCCAGGAATGACCACAGCTGTCCAAGGTGCCACATTTCACTGGACATCCACATTGTGCCAGGATCCCATGTTTATGGGTTTGAATTACAGATTTGACTCCATTATGAGTTAGTCAGCCCAAGGGTTAAATACCTTCAGCATGTGCTACTTTGGATTTTACCCTGACACCACCACCGTCACAAAACTGAAACATTGTTTCATGGTGGTGTTATGACTTGCCCTCTCACTCACTAGCTCATGGGGCGGTGGGGTAGCCAAGTGGGTAAACTGTTGGCTCGTCACGCCGAAGGCCTGGGTTCGATTCCCCACATGGGTAAAATGTGTGAAACCCATTTCTGGTGTCCCCCACCGTGATATTGCTGGAACATTGCTTAAAGCAGTGTAAAACCATACTCACCCACTCACTAGCTCATGTTGGATTTCACATGGCAAGTTTCACAGTGTGTATGTTAGACAATATACAATGTGTCAAGTCAATCACATGTTTAAAACATCATCAGTGGCACTTACCATTCAATCTGAAATGCTGACTGATAATGTAACTGAAAATAGGGTAATGTAAGATGATTGTGTCTAACACATGTCCTGTTTCTGATTGCTGTGTTCCTTGTGTGGACTAAACTACATTGTCTGTTCATGGTAAGACAATCACTACCATGTAGAATGGTGCATGCTGTTTATACTTCATAGAGATGCTTCCTCTTTTAGTGTCGACTTGCTGTTGTAGTTGATTGTACTTGCTTGGAACTAATCCCTTTGATGGACCAACCATTTTACTGGCAACATGATAACCACTTGCAACACTGGGTTGTGGTTCACTTTGGTTCATATTTACATCATCTGTTTTCCTAATTGTATGCTTACTTTTATCAGTATTGAGTCCTTTCGGTTTGTTTTTACAGTATTTTTCCACATTTTACTTTAACATTAAATGTGGAGCAGAATTTTGTTCTGTACCAAGATTTCCAAACACTGTTGGTCAAGATCCCATGGGGCGGTGGGGTAGCATAGTGGTTAAAGCGTTCATTTATCATGCTGAAGACCCGGGTTTGATGCCCCACTTGGGTACAATGTGTGAAGCCCATTTCTGGTGTCTCCCCCTGTGATATTGCTGGAATATTGCTAAAAGTGGTGTAAAACCATACTCACGCACTCAAGATTCCATGGTAGACCAGTTCCCCAGACATTGAAGTTAATGTTCACTCTCTATCTCCACTACTTATACAGAGAATTAGGGAAGAACATGTGTTTACTCTGGACGGTCACTGTGTCATGTTGTGACATGATATTGATACATTAAGGGAAGCACTGGGTGATGCAATGGTGTATTGATCGTGTGATTAATACCTTCACCTTTCCACTGTGTCTCTCTGGTATTGGACTGACCCTGCTACTTGAGCATGGAATTAAGCTGCGGGGGTTCATCATGGTTGAAAGTTTATGGACAGGCTTCTAGTTGTATTTTAACATGAATGTGACACCATGTTCTGAATGGGTATCATTGTTTCATCAGTGGGGCATACTCACTGGAGATGTGGAGTATCTGTAGTTTCTCATCTTTTGACTGTTGATACTCTATTGATGCTTTTATCACAGCAGGCTACCTACCATACCAGTCCACCATGCTGTAGTGTAACACAGATCAAAGCATCACTGAGCCATATTCTATCAGTACTGTGGAAAGCATAACCCAGTGTTTGTGTCAACAATGATGTCTTGCCATCAGCATGGCGCCAGATAGGACAGAGATGTTGTAGTCATCACCAGTCATCTTGTCAGAGGATCGGATGGTTACAATGTGACCTGACTTTATATGTAGTCATGTGACATTAAACTTTATCATAATTTCTCAGACCCCTGAAGGACCGGCTTAAATATTGATCTTCAGTAACCCATGCTTGTCGTAAGAGGTGACTAACGGGATTGGGTGGTCAGGCTCGCTGACTTGGTTGACACATGTCATCGGTTCCCAATTGCGCAGATTGATGCTCATGCTGTTGATCACTGGATTGTCTGGTCCAGACTCGATTATTTACAGACCACCGCCATATAGCTGGAATATTGCTGAGTACGGCGTAAAACTAAACTCACTCACTCACTCATAGTTTCTCAGCCAGATATCAATGCTGTACATGTGTTATGCTTGTTAGAACCTTGTTTGCACATTATGTATCAATACTGCAATACTGCATACTTCTGCTGTATATCCTAAATCTTCTGGTATCCAACATAACACCATTATTTTCTTCTTGGTTGTGGGATTTTTCTTTACTGTTTTAATCGATATTACACAGGGAATGCTTGGAAGGAAGAGACTGAGTACCCATGCTTGTCAAGAGCTGATACAAATAGGGTCACATGGCCACAATGATTGCAGTATATGGAGAGTACTTCAATGAGTTACCTCCTGTGGGGACAGTCATGAAATTCATAAAGAGACAGTACTCCATAGCCATAATTTGTTTCACTTGAAATATTTCAGACAGTCCCGTTCAACTAATTTCCAAGTAACCACATTTTGGGTACAAAATATTTTCCTTTGTGTATTAATATATTGTCCCAGCAGTATCTACCTGAAATATGGTGTTAAGATATTAGCAGGTTTATACTCACACAGCTGACTACAGCAGCAACAAGATCTATTCACGTCTAAAGAGAAGTACTACCCGTGAAGATCTGGGTTAGAATTGGTCTTCAGTAACCCATGCTTGTCGTAAGAGGCAACTAACAGGATCGGGTGGTCAAACTCGCTGACTTGGTTGACACACGTCATCGTATCCCAATTGTGTTGATCGATGTTCATGCTGTTGATCACTGGGTTGTCTGGTCCAGACTTGATTATCTACAGACTGCCGCCATATAGCAGGAATATTGCTGAGTGCTGTGTTAAACAGCTACCAAGCAACTAAAGAGAAGTTTCCTGTGGGGACATCTCATCCACATGAGTCCAGTTCCCATCAGAAGTCTTGACTACATTGAGGATCAGGGGACAGGAGTGAATGACCTGACTGTGTGTGATGGTTGTGGCCGAGATAGCTTGGATCATACCTTAATACCCTGACAGGCCACTGGGATATGGCAATGTTGCAGAGTGTGTTGTAAATCTATTTTCACTCACTCACCCAGTATGAAGTATCCTGGTTCCACATGGAACTCTTCAAAGGCTTTGCGTAGCTTCCCTGAGGGGTTTCAGAATTACATCCTCAGTAATCTAACTGATATGCTTGTAGTAATGGGAGGGGTCGCCATGACAACTTGGTGATTGTATGATTGTATATCAACCAAATTAGATGCTGGTCATAGGATCCAACAGTGGTTTCTTTATACCGTTTGACATAATATACCTGGAATAGTGCTGAAACAACAAATCAGACAAAATATATGTTAGCATTTACTTTATTAGCATTGCTGAATCTCTTGCCATTGGAACAAACACCAGCACCCCATCATGTTACCATGTCGCTTGCCATATATCATGCTTCTGTCTGTGTATCTGTAGCATGGATGTTTGTAGAGAAAACATTTGTCTGATTCTAGTTGTGTATCTTGTTTATTCATGGTCAGTTCCTGGTTCAGTATGTACAGTGTGTGAACATGTTGTCATATCCGTTATGTTGGATTCCTGAAAATTGTTGTAGCATGCATGGTATTTGCAAGTTCTAAATAAGTTGTGCATGTAATCCCTTTGAAATATTTTACATGCAAGGTTTTTTTTCAAATCATTTGAAAGCATTTCATTAAAAAGTATTAAACATTGCAGTTTAAAGGAAACGATTAATATGAATTTGAACAGCAACTGGAGAAATAGCTCAAAGAAAACATAAATATAAAGGCTAAAAACATAAGTGGCAGTAAATTTATTGGAAACATATCCATCATTTACTTGTCAGCATGGGACTGTTTCTTCAGTTCTTATTGCTATATTTTGATACTTGTCAAGTCATTCCATATACAAATTTTTGATACTTGTCAAGCTGAAGGCCGGGTTCATTCCATATACAAATTCCTAGTCTGTACAAATTCCTACTTGAAAACTGACAAGGGCATTGGGGTGGAGGGTTGAACACAGTAAGTTGTATAGAGTTATGTCCCTTAGCTTCAGACCCTAGCTTCAGATCCCAAATGTGCCCAGATAAGGGCCACCCTGTCATCAAGGTGCAGCACTTGTCTGTGAACAGTTGCATCAAATGGAAATGCCTGAAACCTATGATCATGGTTTTGAAGTCCCAATTCTGCCTGACGAGTATTCCTGGTTTGTGAGCCTTGTACCTCATGCTCTTCATCTAAATGGTGAACAACTGTGACCTGACCCACATCAGGCTTACATCCAACATTTCTGTGACTGGAAATCTGGTACAGGCTAACTTGTGTATTCAAAGCAGGATCACACTGAACTCTTCTACTAGTAGTGGTGGTACATAGATACTTCAATCAAGCCAACGGTGTTTCAGAACTAAAAATCAACTAAAACTACCTAAAGTAACTCATTTATCTGTGAATTTCAGGTTTAGTGAAGATATAGCCTCCTTGGAGTGTGCCAAAGTAGAGCTCCAGGCCAAGGTAGACAACTCTGCCAAGGATCTCACCCAGAACCAGTCCCAGCTTGATTCCTACAAGAAAAAGGTGGGTGGCAGATCCTAGTGTCCCTTTGCTTCCTTCATGTTCCTGCCTCAAGTGCATTTGGCACAATCTGTAATCTAGCTGGCTATGTGTCATTGTACCAGCTATTTCCTCCATTGCTCAAGGGGCGGTGGGGTAGCCTAGTGGTTAAAGAGTTGGCTCGTCATGCCAAGACCCGGGTTCGAATCCCCACATGGGCACAATGTGTGAAGCCCATTTCTGGTGTACCCCGCCGTGATGTTGCTGGAATATTGCTAAAAGCGGCGTAAAACCAAACTCAGTCAGTCAGTCCATTGCTCAATCTATCAATTTACCAAACCCGTAAAGCTTTGGGTTATAAATGGTCTTCGGCTACCCTTGCTTGTCCCACCCCCATGAAGATCTGGGTCAGAATTAGTCATTTATCTGTAATAATGGCTTTAATCAACAAACAAAATCAGGATACCTAACAATTTTCAGGTGACTGATATACCGGGAATATTTAATAAGACATCATTCATTTAATCTACTACTGGTCTCGTTTTTAGACACAGGTAGGCGAGAACAGGTGGTCTTATATTGAGGTTAATTTTCTGCAAGAAGGGGTATGGATAGGCTAACTGTTGTTAATTGTTTCTTCACAAAGAGGGGAATAGGAAGTCCAGAGTTAAGATGTTTCCACACAAAGAGGTGAAATGGTTTGTCCGATGTTAAGATGTATCAACACAATGTAGTGTATATCTGACTTGGTAGATTGCTTGTCACGGTACTGCAGTTTTGTGGGGTTTTGCTCATGATATCAATCACTGGTTTGTCTGGCCCATTTGTTTACTTATAGTTTGCATTGATAGATTGAACATTGTTGGCTGCCATGACAAGTGTTATCTGGTTGTAATGTTCCAGGTTGGTGACCTGGAGACTGAGAATCAGTCTTTGTCAGTCTACAAGGCATCTCTGCAAAGTCTGGAGAAAGAGAGGGAGGCTGAAAGGAACCAACTTCTTGACAAAATCCACTCCCTCGAGTCTACGGTCAAGGAGAGTCAGAACAATGCCAACAACACCAACATTGGTGACACTGCTGGTGAGAGGAACTGTCAACATGGCTCATGTGTTTTTCAAGGGGACTGTATTTGACTGGGAATATTGGTCAGAGAAGGTTCTAAGAAGCCTTTGCTGGAACTGACTGAAGTGCTGATTTGTTGGTTCACATGTATGACCTTGTGGTTGTGAGTTATTGAACCCTAAGAGAGCCCTTATTATTACAGGGACCAAACACTTACGTTTAAGTTACTGGGATATGGCTGAAATAGTGTTTAGGATTGTGAAGGATCTGTTGTCAGATAAGTAAAATGTTGTTTAATGTCTTGTCACTCTATGTGAATTTACAGCTAGACGAGAGAAACACTTCTGTTAATTATAGGTTAACAGCTTTGCTTGAACATTACTTCAAGGCAGTATGCAAAGAGAGAAAATGCTGGCCCAATTAGCTCACCAGTACACAGACAACAACGATCACCAATGGTGGGCTTCTGTACTGTTTGGTACTCTGATACTTTAGTTGTGTGTTGAGTTTATCTGCGTACTTTGTTCCTGAAGATGTATTTTTAAACTTGTAGGTGATCCTTTGGTGGCTAAACTTCAGTCGGACAAGGAGGCATCTGACAAACAGGTGTGTACTCGCTTAAATATTTCCATGTTCTGGTCAGCTGGGCCTGCACGTGGATGTGTTAGGGAAATAGTCTTTAACACTTCTGATGAGCCAGTGAGCCAATGGCCTGCGTTTCAAGATGCAGTTTGATAATGGTCGTTGATGTCCCATGTAGTAAATGTCTATGGTATGTCTCCTGAGACATTTGGCTTACCTGAAGTGATGTAACTAAAATATGCGTTATACCAAAAGACGTTAAAATATGGTACTTGCTGGTCCCTGCCTGGCGCACGGCATTAATGGGTACAACAAGGACTGGTCGGCTCAGAGTCAGTATAATGTGTCTGAGTAGGGTATTCATGCTTCACTGCGGCGTGGTATCTCAGTGGGCTAGCACTATAAAAAACAGCTTCAGTCTGCTGCTAGTACAAGCAGCAGCACATACACAAACACACGCATGCACGTCGTCATATGAGCAATTTCACCTCACCTCACCTTCAAATCCGGTTTAATCCAATTTACTCACTTAATGCTTCATGAAGCAGTGAGCTAGATTTCATGAGCATCTTGACCAAGTTTTCCTGAGAGCTGAAAGCCATGTGACCTACTTCAATGAAAAAGAACTATTACAAGTGGAAACTTTCCGAAGATGCAGGTGCATATGTTGAATTATGATGAAGACTTAGTATCCTGTCTATTTTGGGTGATGGCAATGGAGCCACTTGAACTTCGAAATAAGGCTGCAATGATTCACCCAGACCTTGATTCGCTTCAATTTTCAATATTGGACTTTCAATTCGATCATTTTTGATTCGATTCTTCATGCAAGTAACATTATCAGATTTCATTTAACTCGAGGTGACTTTTTTAGTGTGAAATCCATCATCAACTTGGTGATGTCTACTAATAACAATTCTCATTTGATAGTTAGCCCGGTGTCAACCAATCACGTTTCGCCTTAGTTCAACCTTCGAAACTGCTCGAGTTGGAGTCAGAATTACGTTCTGGCTGTGTGGAAATAATTTAAACAGGTATTCAATTATCGAATCAAAATAGTGATAATAGTTATCGAAAATCAAACCTAAGGTGTCAGATTTGATTTTCGATTAATTTAACCGAATCATTGAAGCCCTACTTCGAAAAATGAAATGTGTGGGTACTACGAGTGTAGCCTAGTATTTGTTTCCTAAGCTTTGGTATGGCTGGCCACTGGAATATTGCTGAAAGCATCTCTCATGCCCTTCTTTTATATATTTCAAGATAGAACAACATCATGAGGAGTTGCTGTGGCAGACAGATAGCCTTTAAATAGTCTTACTGATCCTAGGATGTAATGGCATTGTGTGGTGTACTGATGATGGCAGCCAGTGATGCATCATGTTTCAGATCGAATTCTTGAACTCCGTGATCGTGGACATGCAGAGGAAGAACGAAGAAATGAAAGTGCGTCTCCAGGCCATGGAGGCCGGAGTCTATGATAATGGGGACGCTGTGGAGGGCATGGACATCTCGTGAGTTCAACAGCTTCATGACATCTTGAACATGGCATAACTGGGAGAGTAGCAGAGTATCTGTAGTGATCAGTCACTCTCTCAGTGGGAACTATCCCTTGAGGGTAATGGGACATTTTAAGGGGGGTAATGATTTGAAGAAATCTTGACGTATGGCAGTTGTTTATAAAATATGCCTCTTGTAGACAATTGTACTGCCTCTGTGGTGTAGTGGTTAGAGCGTCCGCCCGGAGAGGAGAAGGTCGCGGGTTCGATCCTCAACTGCATCATACCAAAAGACATTAAAATATGGTATTTGATGGTCCCTGCCTGGCTCTCGGCATTAATGGGTACAACAAAGACTGGTCGGCTCGGAGTCAGTATGATGTGTCTGAGTGGGGTATTCATGCTTCACTGCGGCATGGTATCTCAGTGAGCTAGCACTATAAAACAGCTTCAGTCTGGGCTATTACAAGCAGCTGCACATACACATACACAAGCATGCACATCGTCATATGAGCGAAATATTCTCAAGCATGACGTTAAACCCAATTTCACCTCACCTCACCTCTTGTAGACAATCACACTTACATGTTAAACTATAGTCAGAGTTACCTCCCTCTATTTTCTTATGATTTCTCATGCACTCTGCACTTCAGGTTTTTATGTTGAAGAATGGGAGGAAACTGTGACTCCTGTCATCATACTATTCCAGTACTTGTAGTGTTATCAGTGTGGCAATAATATACCAGTTGACAACATGCTCCAGTCAACACACATAACAGATGAGACCCGTGAAGATCCGGGTTAGAATTGGTCTTCAGTAACTAGAGGTGTGACGATACGGAAATGTCACGATAAGATACGTCAGATAAAGTATCACGATTATCGATACTACGATATATTGCCACAGCTCCATCAGTAACCCATGCTTGTCGTAAGAGGCGACTAATGGGATCGGGTGATCAGGCTCGCTAACTTGGTTGACACATGTTGTTGTATCCCGATTGAGTAAATCAATGCTCAATCTGTTGATCACTGTATTGTCTGGTCCAGACTTGATTATTTACAGACCGCTGCCATATAGCTGGAATATTGCTGAGTGTGGCGTTAATCAACAAACAAACATAACAGATGACAGGTAACCTGTTTAACACATGGAATGATTGTTCCTCACAGACCATCTCGTCCACGATCAGCCCCTCGTCTGTTTTGTGATATCTGCGATATGTTTGACCTCCACGACACTGATGACTGCCCCAAACAGGCCATGTCAGATAGTCCCCCACCCACGCAATACCATGGCGATAGGAAGTCAACACTCCCCTACTGTGATATCTGTGAAGGTAGGTGCTTGGACTAGATGGAATCTGAGATTTATACATCAATATGTTGGTATGTTTGATTTATACATGATATGTTGAGAAGATTGTCAGTATATACATACATAAGGAGTGTTTTCAGGGACGTTCTTAATAGAAATAAGGATTTAGTCCTCAAAATTTTAATGAGGCATTGTGTGTTTGGGATTGATAAGAATGTCCGAAGGTACAAAATGAAGTAAGAAATGGTCATCTGCCTATGTTCTGTGACAGGATTAAACTAAGTAAGCATGTTCTGATACAGGAAAAGAGACTACGTTATGAAAGTAAATGTTCTTGATCATCTTGCATGGCTACAGTAGCAAAAATGAATGCATTTAGGTTTTCTTTCTTCATGGTGACAAAGAATTTAACTTCCAGTCCACAAAAAGCAATCATTTTCAGAACAATCAGACCCATGGTGATTGATGTTAGATAAACAGTACCTGAGAATCAGTTCTGTTTCTGTTGACAACCTAATGATATTCACCTAAGCGTTTTTCACCCATTACTTAGACTGACACAATGAAGGTCCAGCCTAGTGAATGAACCATTACATAATGTTTGTAAACTTTGTAACTATGTAAAGTTACATGTAACTTGCAGTGCATTAAATGGTGCGAAAAATGAACTATCACATCATTTGCACAAGTATAAAAAATGTGTCAAAAACGTATACAGAAAACATCAACCTAACACTGGGAAGAAAAATACTTTTAGAAACCATTTCAATCTCACAGTCATTTGCATGATACTCATATATATTCTCCCTAACTATTTGGACATACACAGTTCAGTCATGGTTGTATTAACAGCTGTCATGTTCATATCTAATGCAACAGTCGTAGTGTTCCTATATTTGTGCCGACTCATTGCCTTGTGGCTATGTGCATAGTGCATTTCTCTCACTTCCTTATTAGATATCACATTTGAGCAGTTTTCCGTGATTAACATGTTTATTGCACATTAATGTTTTGCCCTTTTCAACTGCTTCAGTTTTATAAAATGTTGGATCAAAAGATAAAGTAAAAATATAACAACATGATTTGGCAGCCATGTTTTTAATGTTATGTTTTAGCCTCATAAATTTTGATTTTCAGAAAAGAAATTTAATGCATCATAACTCTTATGATAATAGTGTTAATTTGTAGTCATATCTGTAGTATATAATTCTGACAGTAAGATGCATTCAAAATTCTGTTCTGAGTGTATTTTGGGTTTGTCTAAAAACAGTTATCATGTTCATGCATTTTAAATGTAAAGTAATTCACTAGTGTACAGCAAAACAATGTTTGAAAGTAAGAAATTTCAGCAATGTTCTCATATTCTAAAGACTTCCTGAAACTGAAGTAAAAAAGTGTCTGTCTGAAGCAGTTGAATATTTTTATTTTCATTTTGCTCTCATGCTGCCCTGTGAAGCCACCCAGGTATGCTCTCATTTTGCATTGCAGTGTTTGGCCACTCAACGGAAGACTGTGACGATGAACAAACGTTTTGAAGCGTGCATTCAAGTCTTGTGGCATCAAGAAGAGATCCTGTTCCGCATCAATCTGCTCATTCCGCAATTTCATGCCGCCTCTGTGTTACTTGTTACGAGACGCAATGTTGAACGTCTCTCTTGGGCTTGTTACACCTGACAGTAGGTCTTCTTGTGATGATAAGGGTACCTGTCATTCAAACCATATACACAAAGATGGAAGCGAAATACAAATGAAGGAAGTAAGGGGTAGATGATTTCAAACATGTTTCTTTTTGGAATCAGAATAAATAACACTGTTTTATAATAGGTCAGAGGATGTGTAGATTTGATTATTATTTCAGCACGTATTGCATATGATGTCCTTGATAAGAAGATAAAGTATGTTTTGAACAAATTTATGAAAGTACACTTGAGCCTTGAGCCTTAAATCTAATGATGCATCCATGTTTCAAAGTTTCTCAGTGTCTTTTTCTGCATATGAATTCTGAAGTGTACATGAAATGTTTAGTTTTTAAAGCTTTATTGCAATTAGAAAATTTGGTTCTTGAAGAAATATCATGGGCCTAATGTTACAATGCTGAAATGATTCTAAATTTCTTCACACTGAATGTCCTCAGGCTTCCAAAACATGAAACAGTGTTAAAATATCAATATCAAGGAAAGTCTGATTTAGTATTCCAAAGATGTACTGTAAAGCATTGTCGGGCTTTATATCTTATGACAAGTAAGGTTTTTAGCCCTCTTTGCGTAAGATTTCGTGTAGTCCCAGTCATTTGTGTTTAAAGGGATTTATAAATTTTGAAACAACAGATATATTTTGGTGCTCTAAATACCAAAAAGTTTCATAGCCATGATCTTGTATATATGTAGTTCTGTGGCATTGCCACCCAAAGTGCTTCTGGCACTTCACAAGAAGACCCACTGTCATTAATGTCTGTGAATCTGATCTCAGGGATCTGTTAGCTAGCTGGGAGCAAGGCAGAATAGCATGAGTTACTGGGGCAGAAATAGTTTTATACAGTTACCATAGTACCATATCTTCTAGGACGAGGTTTCACAAATAATATTTTTGCATATTGACACTCTTTAAGGAGACCTTATGCTGTATCTATGTAAATATCAACAGTCTTTCAGTAGATTTTATCAGTAATATGTTCTGTTATATTCTAAATTGTTTTACTTTAAGGGAAGAATATGGTGTAATGTAATTGTTTAATATCATGCATGGATGGTATAACATATATTGTTTCTAGAAGTATAACATGTACACATTGTATATATACCACATCCATGAACCATATATATATATATATCTTTAAACTTGATATACATACAGGACATACAGTGTATATAAGCCAGATGTATTTTAATACAAAAAATATTTTTACAGCCTAGTAACTCATGCTATTATTGTTTGACCAAAGTGAGAAGATCAAATTGTTTACTGAATGGCCTTGATATTGTCATATATTGTGGACAAATAGTTTCTGAGTGAAATAGTTGGGCATCAAGTGAATTCATTTGATCTAAGTAGTATAAATTCTTGAGAACATAACAAATGACAGTTGGAATGTGTAAATGTATCAAAAGAATGTCATGGTTCAGAAAATAAACTCTCCACATTACATAAAATGCTCCACATAGATTGATTCTTTGGTCAAACAATTAGAACCCGCCAGTCAGTTTGTTAAAGGCACATTGCTGGATGGTTGCAAGGCTGCTAAGCCAGTTTGTTGTTTGTACTTGTTGGTGACTGGCAAGTCCATCATCATTCCCTATCAGTGATACTGACACTCTCATTTGTGATTGACACCTGTCATTGCATGACTCCACCACCCAATGCTCATCGTGTCATTACTGACACACTGGCATGGATTATTTTCTTCTGTGCATCTAGTAACTTCACATTATACCTTTTAGGGATTAAGTTTGTGTCAATACAAAATAAATAATTATTGCCTGGTCTTACGGGCATATATGGTCGTATGTAGCATACTATATCAAAATATGATAGGCAAATGGTTCTAAATCTTTCTAAGTGAAAGAACTGGAATAAAAGGATTAAACTTGGATTATGGATTTGTATATTCACACAATATAAGCAAATAGTTATGATTTCTTATGAAAGTAGGCATCTCCTGTCCTGGAAACTTGCTGGTGTGCCAGTAAATATGCAATTGAGGCTTATGTCCTAATGTTTGTGCCAGCTTGCCATTCTGTGCTGTACTGCAAGAATTCTCAATACTCAAATACTTTGTGCAAAATACACAAGACAATGTCAGCAGTGGTTTCTGTTTATTTTCATTGCAGTGTGATCTTCTCTCAGCTAAACAGTGTTACCATGCTTTTTAAGGCAAGCATGTTAATATGGTACTAATTAACGCAAGTGGTACAATAAGAAATATGTCCTCGGTCAAAACTGAGACTCGATGCTTGGAATAAAGATATGATACCAAAACTGAAAGGACTTACTGATCTCAAGGTAGAAGTTTTAATGTAAGTCACGGTTTAATTTATTGTCATATTTCACCATATTCACCAAACATGTCAATGAAACCATTCTTCAAGAATAGAGGAATCATTTTGAGGTGCTATGGTGTGTCCTACATGATAGAATTAGATACTGGTGCATCATTACAGGGAAAATGTATAGATGACTAGTGTTCAGTTTGCAATATCCTCCTTGAAGTGAAAAGCTTGCTTAAATTTGGTTCGGCTGTCTTGCTTCAATCAGAATGCATTAAATATCAGATGTTGAAATAAAACCTGAAAATAGGAAGCAATAGTGCTACATACTGAACATGTTATAATCAATACAGTTATGATGATGTGTTTTATAGGGCATGTTCAAGTGGAAGGTATTTTTGTTTCGAAAACGTGTTCTTTTATCAAAACATCTTCTGAGTGATCTTTTTCTGAAAGAAAATCCACTTGAGCATTGTCAGTCATACATATGAATCACATGGTATCCTTCCCTTTTCAGACTGCTTAACTGTTGTCGTTACATGTCTTTAACAGACAGTCTTTCCCATACATGATGAATGTATGGTTGTAATCAAAGGACCATATAGTGAAGCAAATGACACATTTCAACATTTCTACAGCAAACGCAATTTTGAAGTTGTACGTTTTGATTGAAGCATTGCAGTGGAAACCGATATAGTAATATGCTTTTGTGTCAGGTCTGTTTCCATTTTGTATAGGGGTGTGATGGGTAGATCTCTAACACAGTAGTCTTGTATCATTGTAGATTAATATTAACATTATCATTTGTACATGGATTCATATATGGAGGAGCTTGTATGATCAAGACACAATACGTTGCACTACACACCACTCAGGATACACGGAAATAGTTCTGAAGGGGACATTCTCCATCATTAGCTGGTGCCCATTATCGTTCTAACTACATGTATCTTGTAATCTGTGTGCTGAAACAGTGAGACATTGTCCAGAGTTAAAAAGTTAATCCTAAACTGATAATTCATCTGGTTATGAGTCAGCA